AGTTTTTAGGGTAAGGATTTTAGAAAAAAGTATCATCTTATAGTCGGAAAAATACGGTACTTATCTGTTGCAAAGGAAGGTCTCACATTAAAAAAAAAAAATTCCAAAGTGGGTTAGGGGATTTGGCTGAGGGAATTCTGGGAGTTGAAGTCCACACATCTTAAAGTTGCTGAAGTTGAGAAACACTGATCTAACCTTTACATAATTATTATATCCACAATGTCTTTCTATGATGGTCTGGTCTTTCTTTTATAAATATAGTTAACATTCACTTCTTCTTTTCAGTGAATGCACTTATAGAACAAGAAGTAAGGAATGGAATACCCTCAAACAGAATAATTTTGGGAGGATTCTCTCAGGTAATACTGATCTAACATCTAACATTTCCTGTTCTATGGAAATCCTAATAGTGTGGCAAATCTGTTATAACTAGCTGATTATTTGGATTCCAAGCAGTTCTTTTACTCATCAGGTTTTTTTGATTCTGCAAAAAGCTCCCAGCACATTTTCAGTTATGTCCATGCTTATTGTAAGTATTTAGCTTGTAGTTTTACTGGTAGATTTGACATGCTTGTTTAAATTTCTCTTTCTCCTTCAAAGTTCAGAATGAATAACCATATTCAGGTCAATACAAATGGTAAAAATAGAAGGTAGGTCCACATATATAGAGTAGCTAGGAGTTGGGTGGCATATAAATTATTATTATTGTTGTCATTGTCATACTGATAATTTTGTATTATCCAAAATACATTTTGCATAGTTTATAGGAAATGCTTTTGACTTGGCAAACTTTTGTTGTATAGGAGCTGCATGATTTATGGAACAAGAATTAAAATAACTCTGTCCATGTGTCTTTGTCATTTTTTTTCTTTTTTTGGCACACAAATAGTATCATTAGATTTCCAATTGATAAACTAGTCCCTTGTTCAAATCAAGGACTAGCTTCTTAAATAAATGAGGATTTTGTACATGGGACAATATAAGAGACTATATACATGGCAGAGATAAGATAAATTAAATTATACTAAGATTCCTTATGGATCAGATTGAACAAAGACAGTAATTCTCTTTAATACCAAAGTTCTTACTGTAATACAGTTCTACAGTCTGTATTCAGAAGTCAAGTATTTATCCATACATGCCTCCCCAATTAGATAGCTTGCAAAACTACACTATATAGAGTTGTTTTCAACTGTTTCAACTATAAACCAATCTTGACGTAGTGTTGTCTGTGACTGCAGCCATGGATTTTTAATGTCCTTTAAAATTCTTATAGATGTGTCAGTTGCAAAGCAAATGCTTCATAGCATTTAACAGGAAGTTTGGAAGTGAAAGATTCAGCTATGATGCACCCTTGAAGAAAGTATTATGGTAGAGAGAAATGTATCTATGGCAGGTGTTTCTACTTGTTTATATTAGTTGATGTGATGATCTAACAACTAATGCTACTGCAACATAAATGCTTGAATAGTTTCTTAAATATTATAAAATAAATATAAATGAAATTACAGTTTTTAAAAGTAACTAAGCAAATTGTGTTTGTTGATCAATATTTGATTAAGACTCTACTAATGGACTTTACCTTGATTTTATTAGGGAGGAGCTTTATCTTTGTATACTGCCCTCACAACACATCAGAAGTTAGGGGGTGTCATAGCACTCAGCTGTTGGCTTCCGCTGCGGACTTCATTTCCACAGGTATTGGTTTCATAAAAATAAAAAAATAAGGGAGTTTATATACTTTTAATTATATTGTCAAATATAAAATCTTAATAGCATGTTATAGGATCTTCAAGAGCCTCCTCTTCATTGGCTGAATAAGGAAAAATATAACCACCATTTCATGAACACAGTATGTTGAATGACTTTAAATGAAATGTTAGAATACTAACTGGGTGTTTAAATAGGTCATTTCCTTTAATTAGCACAGCAGAAAGGAGCCCTGATTTCAGTCCTTACAGTAAAGAGATTAAAACTAGTCAGTTTTTGTTTCAGCATGAGATAGTAGTAGTAGTAGTAGTAGTAGTAGTAGTAGTGATAATTTACTAAATTTATATGCTGCCTGACTCCCAGCAACTCTGGGCAGTTTACAAATGGTTAATAATAGTTGTTGTTATTAGTATTGCTGTTTGTTGTGCTTTACAAAAATGCTGCAGTAATTTTAAAGGGATTATCAAATTCCACTGTGTTCCAGAAAACCAAAAATATTCCAATCCTGTATTCCAATAAATTTCAAAGACAGCAAATGTAGAGTATAGTGTTTAATCCTGGGTTAAAGAGCCTGGAATTTGAGTTATTTAGCCACAAAACTTGGTAAATGACACTAACCATCTATCGTCTCTGCCTAACATTCTTCATTATGTGGTTATATAGGTGAAAGGGATGCTGGATATTTAAACAACTACTTACAGGCAGGCTGAAATAAAAGTTGAAAGTATAACAAATAAAAAATCCTGAGTAATATGCTTTCCTCTCATAATAATGTAACTTCCTGTAACTTTTTTTTCTTAGGGTTCCATGAATTGCATCAATAAAGACATTTCTATTCTCCAGTGCCATGGTGACCGTGATCCTTTGGTTCCACTAATGTTTGGAACTATGACTTCTGAAACACTAAAGAAAATGTTAAATCCTGGCAACATAACTTTCAAAACTTACTCAGGCATGATGCATAGCTCATGTATTGAGGTAATAATTGTTTCACATGAAGAATGAGTTATTTTAACCAGAGAAGAATACAAAATAATGGAAGAGGTACTTTACAGGTAGTCCTTGGGTTACAAAGGCAATTGGGACTGTCCCAGTTGCTGTCGTTAAATGAGGACCATGTGGATCATTAAGCGAGGACTTCACGTTTGCGACTTCTGACTTCCTGACAGCTTCCCCATTGATTTTGCTTGTGGGAAGTTGGCAGGGAATTACAATCATGTGACTGCATCTCTCATTGACATTGTAAGTGTGAGCCAGGCATTGAGAACCCAGATCGCAATCACATGACCGCAGGGGCACTGCAATGACCAGAACTCTGAGGACCTGTTGTAACTCCCTCTTGTACAGTGCTGTTGTAACTTTGTACGGTCGCTGAACGAATGGTCATAACCCAGGACCACCTGTAATCCATCAGATGGCATTGATATACAATTTTGTAGTTGTTAATAACTGTAGGTTAATTTCAAAACCCTGAATAAAAAAGATGCAAGCATTTTTCATTTCTTAAAAATAACAGAATTTTATAGAAGCTGTACTTTAGAATTAAAATAGTCTGTTTAAAGAAATGTGTCACATTTAAACATAACATTTAGTAGCAACTAAATATCTAGTATTTTGGAGTTTAATTCTAGCTTAATTGGCATGTAGCTTACTCTTGCAGTGAAATCCCATACATATTAATGAAGAAATATGTCCTAATGAGTTCAGTGGCATTTGCTTCAAGGTAATTAGTATATTATAGCTTTAGTCCAGACAAGTTGAAGATATAAATCAGGACACTGAATGGAAAACCTGATTTTAGTAATAGTGTTAATTGAATATTGAAGTGAAAAGGGTAAAGCTTTCCTTGCATGGTGAGGAGCCATATATGTATTCTTTCCTTCTATAGTAGTTAAGAGAATATTAGTACCAACTAATTTAAACTAAATTACTGTTTTTCATTCCTGAATAGGAAATGATGGATGTGAAGCAATTTATTGACAAGCACCTACCTCCAATTGACTGAAGTATGTGAGAAGCCTTCTGTTAAATGCACCAGCATCATCTGTATTAGATTGTTTTCTTTTTCATGTAGCTATTTCTAAAGTATCTCTGTGCCTACAGTATTAACTGTACTGCAAAGATAAGAAACTATAACTTCATGAGAAACAATACTCCTCTCAAATCCAATTGGCCATAACATAAATGTATGGCAGTGGAAAGGCATGTTGGAATATAATTAGGTATTCTCTTCCTTGCTAGATCATTCCAAATTTGAAGTTCTGAAGCCCTTTTATAATTCAGAGCAAGTTTTTTCCAAATCCTGTTATATTTCTGCTTGCTAAATTGACACTTGTATATGCAGTATGTAAAACTGAATAAGCATGTAGAATGAATATTCTTAAGGTTCACATTTAACCAATATTATTGCATGTGCAAGATAAGACTGTCAAGTCTTTAAATTATCCCTACACCTTGGAGGAACATAGTGTTGTATCTTAAATGTGTGCCATGCTACTTGGAATCTTGGAAAAAGTATTTGATCTCTATACAAAAGTTTCCCATTCAGCTGTCCTGAAATAAATTTGAATACAAATGTCTTTCAAACAATTATATATCAAACTATGATAAAAATCATTAGAATTTTTAGTATATTGCAAAATTTGAGCTTCCAAAAGCTATTCTGAGTAGCTAACTTCTCATCTTTATAACTTCTTATAAAATCAAAATCAGAAAATAGATTGTATGTATTTGTATTAACTTGTTCTGTTTCAGAGAAATCAGGATTGGTGGTTAAAGCATTGCATAACCAACTGACATAAGAGGCAAGAGAAGGGTGCACACGGAACAAAATATATTTAGTTTTGAACCTGAAACAAGCCATCACTCTGTGGAAATTTGGCTGAACTGTTTTAAGTCAACCACAGCTCAGCAGGCATGTAGTATTTAGTTGTTCAAAACAAAATCTGGAGGGATACCAGAATGGGTTTTGGAGAAAGTAGGACAAGATGGTGCACACTGCTTCCTCCTCAGCATGGTGTATGCATTGCTGCCACCTCCCTGCTCTTTCCATGGCCTGCCTTCAACCACTACCACTGATATCCCAGCATGGCACATTTCACTGCCTGCCTGTTCCACCCCACCTCCCAAAGGATTTTCCCAGCACCTTCCTTTCTCTCCCCAGTTGTCATTGATATCCAATATGCCATCACCAACGCATATTGGATATGCCTTGGTGATGGCATATCCAAGGCAAGACCCTTCAGCCTTGGCTGTTTCCTGCTCTTTCCTTTACCATTGAATGACAAAGCATGATTGAGTTTGGCATAGATCACCGCAAACTAGCTGTTCCATTCATAAAATAGTTTGTGCAACCAAAATTTTCTACATCCCTAGACCCAGTCATTCAGAATAAGGTACTACAGTTTCACCCTTGTCATGGCAAATCTTCCATCTCAATTCTTAATAGGACTTGAAGTTTTTGTCAGAACTGAAAATGTATTCCTACAAGATAGCAAATAAAACTTCCTGCAAACATTTCACAAAATCAAAATACACATTTTGTATACGTAGATAATTCTATACATGTTACTTCTATGTGTGCTTTATTTCTGTACATATAGAAACAAAAATTACCTTAATTCTATAGCATGAGTATAAGAATTCCTTTAGGAATAGTGCTATAGGTTTTGTAGTCAGGATTGTATGTATGGGGGAAAAAACTGGATATGTTATTTCTCTTTCAGGCCATTCACCCTATCCCATTATTTTCCTGATTCTATTAGCATCACATTGCTACTATGTATCTATTGTTGATGGTGAATGGCACCTTCTAAGATTTCTTCTATTCATTTGATTTTATTTAAGAATAGACATGGAGCCTGATTGGAAGCACTCATTACATCTGCAGCTGATAAGCACTTAAATAGTTAAAAATGAAATTGAGGTTACATGTTGGGGAATGGGTAATCTTGCCCTTTGACACTTTTGTCCATGTTCTGGCATCACATTTTGATTCTTGCTGGGCCTTTAGATTATTAAACTGAGGGCCATCTATATACCAGCAAAATTGGGCAAGAAATCTGTGTTTGGAATATACAACTTCAGATTGTAAAATTTTTCCGGTGTATGATGCGAACATCCTGGAGGTTTAACTTGGCTTATTCTTTAATTACTGGTTTACTATATGCTGGAATTGGGAGAGCAATGAAACCTATAGTATGTTCCCTGTTGTAGCCTGAAACATATTTTAAAATACAGATTCTGGATTCTGCTGAACTGAATTTGGCCCTTGAAAGAAGTAAATGTGTCTGTAGTCAAAGCATCTCTGGCCTATTAATTATGGGAATCTCTGCAAGTTTGTATACATAGGACTTGAATATGGGAACAGTATGATTTTATCAGTTTATTTTGTTTTTATTGGGACTAGTTTCTTATACACATGCTAGGTCCAAGAAGAAAGCATTGTGACAGTATTCAGAGATTTTTTATAAGCGATAATGTGCAAGATTTTAGAACATTGGCTTAACAGAAAGTAATCTGTTAAAATGTTTATTATGTAATGGTAACTGTCTAGAACAGTTCTTTTCTTAAAAATCAGAAATGTAAAACAAACCAAAACTTTGATTTATATCATTTTTTAACTTAAAAGACTATGTGAAACTACTGACATCAAAATATAGTACAATAATAGATGTTCAGTTTACTTTGGAATCTGACATACAATACTTTGCTAAACAATCCAACTTTAATATTGAAATTTGTTTTTAATTGGAATGTTTGAATAAAATTGCCAGTATTCATTGTATTATATCATAGCTTAAATGCTGTGACAACAGAGGCAAATCTAATAGATTTATCAGGATTTTCATCCTGATAGGGTTAAGTTTTTAGTTTATCTTGAAGTATTGTATAGTGTTCATTGCAGTGAATTGCTGAGGGAGTACTCTAACATGAATTTCTGGTCTGTTAATTGAATGTTTGCCTTAGGAAGTGTATTTGCACTTCAGTAAATTCTAAATGCATCTTTTTTTAAAATAAATAGGTGCTATTGACTGTCAAATATTGTTTCTGGAAAGTATGTATAGGATGTAAATGAAGCCATATGTTAAGGCTGGAGTATTTTATAAACAACAATTTGGCTTTTCTTTATCCTAAATTTTAGGAAGTTCATAGCTAAGATTACACCTTGATTTTATACTATGTTTATGTTAAGAAATCTATTGAAACATCTTAGATGGAAATTGTAATCTGTTACTGTGAATAAACTCTGAACAATCAATGAAGGAATCAATTCTTATTGAATAGAACATATTAAAAATATGTAGCATACTAATGAATCCCATAAATCACTGATGCAGAATGTTAAGGCTTGAAGAGAGAAATGTATTACAATTAGTTGCATTTTCCCTTTACATTCATCCATGGTTAGGTAAATCTTGATTTGCTCAGCATTTTTTCATATTGTATGACTCACCAAACCATAAACTAACCACAAAGGTTGGATTTATACATAAGGTTTGGCTAAAACATGTAGATTAAATTGTGATTCAGTGTATCAAAGCAACCACTATTAATGACTATGTTGAAATCTGAACAAATTGCAATTCAAGCTGCAATTACAAACATGCACAACCAAGTATAGATATGGAATTCAACTGTTTTTTTTGGGGGGGGGGTAAGTAAAAGGTATACATGTTCATTTTGTAGCACATATTTTTGTTGCAAGAATAAAATTACATATAATGCTTTGTGAACCTTAATCCTTCTGAAAATAGCTTCTTTGCTATCTATTATAGATTACCGTTCATAAGAATAGTAAAATGAGCTCGGGGCAGAGGCTTTACCAGAAAAATAGATACTTTATTACAGTTTACAGCAGAAAATAGAATTACTATACTTTATAAATCCATCTCTTCATGAAATCCTAATGCACATTTATATTACAAAACCATTGTGACGATTTAAATTCGTAAATCGGTAATCACATACTTCGTGCCTCATGCCTAAGTAAACAATTTAAAGGTCAAGCTATATTAACTCCCTGAGACGGCAACCACTGCTTCTCCTTTTTTCTATTCGCCAAGACGGGACAACTCACAGCCACCTACCCGAGGTGGACCAGTTACAAAGAGGCTACTTCTTCGTGTCTTTTCCAGCCAGTAACAGCCCGTCTCTCCAGCCAGAGCATAATCTTCCCTTTCCGCGGGGCGGGCACAGCTATGAAGGGTGAAAGAAGCTCCACCCCCTCTTTTTATTCTTAATCGATGTTTTCGGTTTTCCGGAGCATTGCCTGGCTCTCTTTACCGAGGCTTGATCAGCACGGCCTGGCGCCACGGCTGCCGAGCTGTCGCTCCTGGCTCAGGCCGGTTGATGTTCACAGCAGCCCCGACAGTGGCTTGACGGCTCCATCTTTGCTTTGCGCTGAAAGCTTCGCATTCCTGGCGGTAGAAGCAGCGTCGAAGGTTGAAGCTCACTCTTTCTCGTTAGTCCCCCTTTACAGAGGGAGGCGCCGCCGCGGAGCCCGGCAGCCGCCATGAGCACCGAAGATGAAATCATCCGCATCGCTAAGAAGATGGACAAGATGGTGCAGAAGAAGAACGCGGTGAGGTCAACCGGGAGGGAGGGAGAAATGCCCGTTAGCCCCCTCGCGCGCCCGACTTGAACTTCTGTCCGACCAATCAGCGGCGCTGCACGCTCAACGGGGCGCCCGCCTTTTTCCGGGGGGGAATAAATAAGGGCTAATGGAGGGAAGGCTTCGTTCGGTCGCAGTTCCTCTTTTGTGATGTCTCAACTGTCATCTGTGGAAAGTGCAGTTCGCTTTACGGGATCCTAATCTCCGTGTCTGAACCAGTTCTGATAGCTCTCCGGGTTTGTAATGAGCCGTAGTTATACGTCACGTTCAAATCCAGAGAAAGAGTCCTGTGGACGGCATTTATTGCTGTGGCGAAAGGCCCAGTTTTTACTTCCGGAAAATAGAAAATTAGGGTCCCACTGGCGCCTCCAAGAGAGTCAAACGCTCGCCTGTGTTTTAAAGCCATATTAACGTTGTGGGTTTTTTTGTCGGAAAGCTCCCTGTCCTATCGTAAGACCCACTGCTACCTTTCTCTCCTTTAAGAATGTGATGCCAGCCCCTTTTCTGCTTTTCCCGAAGACGCTGTGGCTTTTCTGGTTGTATGGAGTTGTAGGACTTATAGTCTAAAATGTCTTAAAGACTCTTACACTATAAGTATATATTTAAGCTTCCATTTTTCAATTGAGTACTATTCACTATACTGCATTGTTTTTAACTCTGCCTCCTGTAAATTTGAGCATCCTTTGAGATTCTTGTTGAACATCATTCTAAAATTTAAATGAAGGTTCAGTAGGGTTTACTGCATTGCTACTGTGTGTGTGGATATTGAAAACTGAAAATGTTTCATTGTAATGTTTATTCATCTTTTATTTACAATAAATAAAATAAAAATGTTCAATCCAAAATGCTCTTGATTGCCCACACTATACATTTCTATTATATAAGGCAAAATAATTGTAAGTTTAAAAGCACCAATCTAAAATAGCATTACTTATTCCAGAGATAGGGAGCCTCTTGTTTCTAAATGTTGCTAAACTGCAACTTCCTGCATCTCTGAGTAATCTCAAGTACCAACTCACTTGAAGTAAATTGTCTGAAGAAGCATGTTGGAAGAATTAAGGTTTTGGTTTTTCTAAGAAATATGTACTTGATAGGAAAAGTATTCTGTAACTACCAAGAAAGAACTTCTGGGTACCCTTATCAAAGAAATATCAAAATAGTGAGATGCAAAGCTACATCTTCCTGGAAAATCACAAGCTTTGTAAAAACATTAGCTTGGGATAATGAAAATTCTTGCTTATGTATGTTCCAATTTATTTTCTATCTAGTTATTTGCTGAAAAGATAAACTTAGAGATATTGCACAAAGTAGTACTGTTTACTGATATGTTTTATTTAAAATCTAAATATACAAGATGAATTTTAGAGTAAAGCCAGTCCTACCACTATTTTTAGGGTAAGAATGTATCTGCTATTAATTAAAATGAATTTTTGGCTGAAGTTCTCCCATGTTCTTACTTTAAGTATGGATTTAATATGCAGATTCTTACACTGAGAAATTTTCCCATTTCTATTTGGTTCTCTTTCTAAGTCCGCTTGAACCATGATATGGAAGCGTTGTTAAGGACTATAATTGCTTTTATTATAGTGATATTAGTAACTATTAATGCTTTTTATAGTATATTCAGTGTAATGAATTACCTTATTGTGTAATGAATAGGTTCAAGTTGACAGAGGTAATGTTGCACATATGGATATTCAAAAATCAAGATCAGTTGAGTAAGATTAGAGAAGAAAAGGTAAGCAGTAGCTTTTCCTATTATTAGATATAGAATCAGAGTGTACTAAACATTTTTCCATGTGCATTATGCTGCCATTCTATACTCACATACCTGAAATAAATAATATTTAATTTAGTGGAACTTACTTTTGAGTAGGTGTGAAAGAATTTTCTCTGTTATAGACAGCAACACATCTGTGTATAGCCTCTTAAGCATAGAATCAGATTTTAGTAGTATTTTAAATGGAGTAATAATGAACTACACTCATGTATGATTGGGTGGTTTTAAATCAAACTTTAAAATATAAATGATAGAATTATTTTCAAAGTTCATAAATACTTGACTAGCAATAGTTAGTCCTATGTGCTTAGAATCTTCATATCTGTTGTTTTCCATGCTACATTAACTAAATTATATTTTAGAACATTTTTAATATTAGTTTGTTATAGCTGAATTTTAATGATGTGAATTGTAAAGAAGGATAAGACTCACCAAATTTAGTGAAACTTGACTCCCAATTAGCTCTCTTTAGATTATAGCATAAAGTAAAATTTGAGAGAAAGAGAGGGGGAAGGAGAATTCCTATTAGATTCAGGCAGAGGTTTTAAAAAATTTTCAGTAGAATCTTCCTTTCCCCCACAATGTATGCTTAAAGTTCCAGTTCTAAATGCCTGCTGCATTAAGCCTGAGCTATAGTTCAGTCATAGAGCACATGCTGGCATGTAGAAAGTTTGATCTGTGGCACCTCAGTGTATAACTGGAAAAGAATTCCATATGATACCCTGGAGAACACTGCTTGCCAGTATAGATTATATTGTGTTATCTGTGGAATAATGGATGACACAAGGGACTGATTCATATAAGGCAGCTTTCAGTGTTCATAAATTTACTGTGCCCCAATATGTTTAGTAGAAACTTCATTTAAGAGAAAGAACTCAGAGCTGTGATCTTGAAAGGATTTATATCTCTGCATCTGGGAAGACTAACAATGTAAGCTATGCCCCTATGTGTACTTAGGCCATTTTATGAGTTCCACTCTGAGCAGAACTGTCATTTGGAATTTTCCCATAAAAGATTACCAGGTTCTGTACTAGCATTTAGGTACACATCTTGATTTTAGCTTCTCACTATGAGTAAAGCATTTTAGCTGCTAGGCCATAGTAATGAGCTTGTGATGTATAAAGCATGTTTGTGACATTATTCAGTTGCTGAGATTGGCAATTTTATAGTGTTACACAGCCAAACTTTATCTTTCCCCCCCCTTTTTTTTTTTGACAGAAGGATCAAAGTGGGAAGGCTGATGAAACAATAATGTTATATAAGTGCCTGGTTAGGTTTCTGTTTGTTGTGTATGCTTACCTTTTGCTGCAGGGTTTTGGGTTGGGTTTTTTGTGGGTTTTTTTGGTAATATTTTAGGGGCTCAGGTGCCATAAAAATAGTTTGGAGGCCACATGAACTCAGTAAACTATGGATCATGCATCCCTACTGTAGTTTTATAGCTGCTTCTGTTTTTTATTATAAGCTCCTCTGGGGAGTTGCCACGGACTGATTGGGAATTCTGGTAGTCCCAACACATCTGAGAGCACTAGGACAATGTCTTAGCAAAAGGCATAATAGCAGTAATGACATTTATTTTCAAAATACCATATAACAATGTATTAAAGCCAACTAAGTGAACAATACTATAAACATATGTGAATGAGGATATCTTTAAATACTAGATAAACAAGGTATTGTTGAACACGTCTATAGTGGCAAGCCACTAAACAGTGCTTTCATATTCATGACTGAAATCAGTGGAAAACATTTTTCTCTTTTGTATTAATAAGGGAAGAGGATGCAGTTATAATAGAAATTAATATTCTTTCTCCTTTAGATCTGTTTTGTAAATATTAAATTTTTGTAAATTAATGAAGAGAGTAAGAAGCAGTCACTGTGTGTATGTGTATTGTGCAGATTTAAGTATCTGGAAAGTATTTTTGAAGGGTGTTTTTAATAATTGCTTTACAGTACTACTTCACATAGATAGCTTCAGTTTCGTGGAAATTTCATCTTGAAATTAGTTGAGTTATTTGCTGTCAGAAATATTGCTTAACAAAAGTGAAAGAAAGTCAACCTAGTAAGGTATTATCAAAAATCATATAGAGAACAAATAAAGTATTATCTATTAAATGTTATTTGCAGATGGAATAATTTATTATAGTTCATTAGATTATGCATATTAGTTTACCAGAAAAGGTAACACATAATGCAGATTTTGCACAGTTGTGAACATGAATAGTCACAAGGTTCAATCAAGCTTGATATGGTTGTTGTAAATTCTAAAATTCGAACAAAATAAGAAGTATTGTTTGATACATTTCAAAGTCTTGCTTTCATCTATTTTTAGAGTTTAACAGTTTGGGCACTAAAAGTACACTGGTAGTTTTTTGCTATGATTTCATGGTCATCTTAATGAGTTATTTATTTCTGGTGCAATACTGTGCCTGTTTATGTGGGAGTAAGCCCTGTTGAACTAAGTGAGACTTAACTCTGGAAAGTAAGGTAAATGTAATATAGTAGATACATTTTTTGACATACGTGGCCAAGAAAGAAGATAAATATAGAGTTCTAAGAATGCAGAGAAAGTCCATCATCCAAGCACACTTGGAGGTTTCATTGGTTTCTGTTATCATCTAGTAAAAATTGTATTTACAAGGCCCCCATCATATGTGACTTGATCACTGAGGAGGGGGCAGACCTGGCATATACAGTGGGGTAAAAAAGTATTTAGTCAGCCACCAATTGTGCAAGTTCTCCCACTTAAAAAGATGAGAGAGGCCTGTAATTTTCATCATAGGTATACCTCAACTATGAGAGACAAAATGGGGAAAAAAATCCAGAAAATCACATTGTCTGATTTTTAAAGAATTTATTTGCAAATCATGGTGGAAGAAGTAGTTACAGGTCTGTGAGAGCCAGACATCTTGCTTGTTTGTAGGTGACCAAATACTTATTTTCCACCATGATTTGCAAATAAATTCTTTAAAAATCAGACAATGTGATTTTCTGGATTTTTTTCCCCATTTTGTCTCTCATAGTAAGAAGTAGTTACAGGTCTGTGAGAGCCAGACATCTTGCTTGTTTGTAGGTGACCAAATACTTATTTTCCACCATGATTTGCAAATAAATTCTTTAAAAATCAGACAATGTGATTTTCTGGATTTTTTTCCCCATTTTGTCTCTCATAGTAAGAAGTAGTTACAGGTCTGTGAGAGCCAGACATCTTGCTTGTTTGTAGGTGACCAAATACTTATTTTCCACCATGATTTGCAAATAAATTCTTTAAAAATCAGACAATGTGATTTTCTGGATTTTTTTCCCCATTTTGTCTCTCATAGTAAGAAGTAGTTACAGGTCTGTGAGAGCCAGACATCTTGCTTGTTTGTAGGTGACCAAATACTTATTTTCCACCATGATTTGCAAATAAATTCTTTAAAAATCAGACAATGTGATTTTCTGGATTTTTTTCCCCATTTTGTCTCTCATAGTAAGAAGTAGTTACAGGTCTGTGAGAGCCAGACATCTTGCTTGTTTGTAGGTGACCAAATACTTATTTTCCACCATGATTTGCAAATAAATTCTTTAAAAATCAGACAATGTGATTTTCTGGATTTTTTTCCCCATTTTGTCTCTCATAGTAAGAAGTAGTTACAGGTCTGTGAGAGCCAGACATCTTGCTTGTTTGTAGGTGACCAAATACTTATTTTCCACCATGATTTGCAAATAAATTCTTTAAAAATCAGACAATGTGATTTTCTGGATTTTTTTCCCCATTTTGTCTCTCATAGTAAGAAGTAGTTACAGGTCTGTGAGAGCCAGACATCTTGCTTGTTTGTAGGTGACCAAATACTTATTTTCCACCATGATTTGCAAATAAATTCTTTAAAAATCAGACAATGTGATTTTCTGGATTTTTTTCCCCATTTTGTCTCTCATAGTAGTTGAAAGTCCGTGTTGCCCAGCGACAGCCCCAAAACATCACTCCTCTAGAGGAGATCTGTGTGGAGGAATGGGCCAAAACACCAGCAACAGTGTGTGAAAACCTTGTGAAGACTTACAGAAAACGTTTGACCTCTGTCATTGCCAACAAAGGATATATAACAAAGTATTGAGATGAACTTTTGATATTGACCAAATACTTATTTTCCACCATGATTTGCAAATAAATTCTTTAAAAATCAGACAATGTGATTTTCTGGATTTTTTTCCCCATTTTGTCTCTCATAGTTGAGGTATACCTATGATGAAAATTACAGGCCTCTCTCATCTTTTTAAGTGGGAGAACTTGAACAACTGGTGGCTGACTAAATACTTTTTTGCCCCACTGTATCACTGAGATTTGGCTGGGGCCCGGGGGGGGTGCCCCTCTCGGAAATGTGCCCAGCTGGGTTTACGGTGTGGCACCAGCAGAGATTCCAGGGCAGGGGAGGAGGGGAGGCGGGTGTCCTCTGAGGGTTGCTCGT